TTTTCCCTTTTGTTTAATAGTCAGGGGAGAGGGGTATAGGAAAGGTAAAGTGAGGTGCTCTACTTGGTGTAACCAGGTGGGCTAGGGATTGGGGCTAGGCAGCCCGTTGTGTAAGCAGTGGAGTGTGTTGTTTACCTCCCTGCTCTGCTCCTCCCATGGGATAACTCCTTGTCTGTAGCTGGACTTGGGGCTGCAATGAGTTTTGAAGAAGGCCATGGAACTTCTTTTTGGAAAGCCTGCCTTTGCTAGCCTGCCTTCTGCGATTGGCTTCTAGTTGTCTCCTATGACATATCGGTTCCTGAAGTCTTGGAACCTGGGTCTTTTTTTTTTTTAATATTTTTTTTTAATTTTAGAGAGAGGAAGGGAGAAGGGGAGAGAGAGATAGAAACATCAATGATGAGAGGAATTGATCGGCTGCCTCCTGCACTCCCCTGTTTGGGATAAAGCTGGCAACTGAGGCATATGCCCTGACCGGGAATTGAACCGTGACTTCCTGGTTCATAGTCAGCACTCAACCACTGAGCCATGCCAGCCGGGCGGAACCTGGGTCTTAATGTTAATTATGTTCCCAAGTTAGTGAAGAGTGCTAGGAAATCTGGGCTCTGGAGTTGGGTTTTGTGTTGGTCTCTTTTTTTAAAACTTACTAAAATTTTTTAATTTGCCTTTTTTAATGCTACCTTCCTCCCCTTCAAGGGTAAAAAGATAAGTGCATATCTGCAATTCTGAATTGCTTAGCACCACTCACTGATGCCTTCCACGTGACACTGCCGATGGTGTGAGTTTCAGCTCAGAGAGCAGTCTCATCTGGAGCTATGCCCTGTGGTCCAGGGCAAATTGTTACTTGAGTAATTTTTGCTTCTCCTTTCATGGCGTTCTGATGATGTCCATCGTAGCATTCCATCTTTTTAACGCAGATATGACCCGCCTAGTGCAGAGAACACTCTGATGGACAGTCCTTGACCTTCCCCCACATTCTTATACTTGCTCTGATGGAATTACTCTGATGTTGAGTCAGCATTTCCCATCATTTCCCGAGTGTTTGGGTCATGTTCTCCCTTTGAGAATCTTTTATTTATTTTTCCTTCCCCACCTCCATTTGAGGTAATGGCATCTTGCTGTTGAGTGGTTTCTCTGCTCCTTTTTCTCCCTGCAAAGTTCTTTCCATGACAGTTTCCAGTTGGGCAGTCTTATAATTCCCCTGATAGGGAGGAAATTAGGTCAAAGGTGGAAGAGACCATATGAAAATTGGGATGTTTTGGGGGGTGGGGTGAAGTTTTCAGTTTTCTCTCTTCCCATTCCCCCCATGGGGTGTATTGGAGATCAACTTCCTCCACCCCCCCAGGTTTAACCCC